ATTATTTGGCTCTGCTGTTGGCTGCTAATAGTTTTCCACAGGGTGTTCTCACCTCTTCTTATAAAAATAAACAGGAAGTCAAGGGAAATTTTTATATTGTTTAAAATGAGCTTAAATCGATATTGGTAATTAATACAGGCACCTAAAATCAGCTTCACGATTCTGATTGGTGAAGCTCTGGAAAAACATTTCTGTTGCAGCCGATTCCACTTGTTTATAGAAACCATACCATATTTCTGTAATTTTGTTTTTCATTCTACAAAATACAGAAGAAGAATGTTAATTAAAAAAAAAGGCATATCTTACTTTGAGTCCAGTTTTGGGCACTTTGGAGTCTTTGTTGTCAAACTCCATCCACTGCTGGACGATGCGGCTCACACTCGGCTCTGAGTTGTTAACAAGCTGAAAGCCAGTGATGTTGGCGCCGCCTTTCCTCAGGTCCGTCAGGTCGATGTCAAGGAAACCCTTCACCAGACAGCAACACACGTAAATGTAAATACCTTTATTGTCCCACAATGGGGAAATTCGTTCTCTGCATTTTGATCAATCCATTTGGGGAGCAGCGGGCTGCCATTGTGCAGCACCCGGGGCAGAGCATGGAGTGGAGCGAAACAAATATGGTGGAGTGCAGAGCGCTTTTCAATTCAAAGGCAGGAGTGAGAATTTCGCTCGGCTCCAGCTTGTTCCGATGCGCTCTCAACGTTGGATTATAAAATTTGTAAAATAATATTTATTTGATTTAAGTGGGATTTCTTAGACATGCTTTTGAATTGAAAAACAGTTGCAGGCCAACAGTTTTTAATCCTTAAACAAGTGGAAACAAAGTCCACAGTGAAAACAAAGTCCAGTGGATTGTATTTTTCACTTTTTTGGAATTATAAACAAGAGTATTTCCAAGACGCTCTGATCGATTTACAATAGATCAATAATACAATTTAAAACAAACTATTAAATAAATAGACTCAAATTATAGGTTAAAATGCTAATAACTCTGAACATTGTGCAATGATAACCCTGTATAAAGATCCTACTATTTAAAAATAAAATAAAAAGCTGTCATATGTGGACGCACTGCATATACTATATTTATGCATGCATCTTTTTCTTCCTTTACTATTTGAGCTGATGTAACCTGTAAATTTCTCCTCAGTTAGATCAATAAAGTTCATTTCGATATCTAAGGTTTAGTGCGAATACCTTAGAATTTGTTATACAAAACAGACTTTATTGATTCTGAAGTCTGTTTGAAGGACAGAATGTGTGGAAAAAGGAGAATAAGAAAACTAATTTCAAGCAGAAGTAGTCCTGAGGTAATCTGTGACAGCCTAAGTCCTCATAGGTCACGGTTAAAAATGAAAGGATCAAAATCTTACAGGATTCAGGGTAAAATACAGCTCAGGCTTTACGCAACCAAGAACAGAGAAAGAAGAGATTAGCAGGAAATGTAGTATCTCTGCTCATGTTTTTCTTTTTTTTTTTACCCTGACTGGTATTTCTTAATTTTTTCTGTAGAAGGAGAAAGATAGAATAATGCAGACAGCTTCAGCGGCTCAGCAGGTGGCCTGTCACTGCAGGGAGAGGAAGAGGCGGACAAATGGGAACGTGAACGGGTGGGAGATTCTCTGTGATTTATAAAAGAAGAGTTTTACCAGATGAAAAGGAAAAAAAGGTACTTCCTCGCATTGTGTCTTGCCAAGCATCTGTCTAAGTGTTCGATGATTTCTCTTTCTTCTTTGTTCCCACATTGTTTCATGATGTTTGGTTCTCTTTATGCTCCATGCCTGCCTAAAAATATCGTTTTTTCATATTTGCTCCTCTTTCATTTTCAGACAGGCTAAACAAAATTATATATATATATATATCTTTAAGATAGGCAAACAACGACACTGTAAATGGAGGTTGGAGGTTTCCAAAAAAGTCCAAATAATTATTAAATAATTTATGTGGAATTCAGATTTCTTGGTTTGGAAATATAATTTGATAAACATTTTCTTTTTTTTAGCTGAACTCATCTAAAGCTAATTTACATCAATGGTAAAGCAATGACAGGGTTAACTGCATCAAAACGGGAAACCTTGGCCTTATTAAGTCCAGGTAACAACAACAATAATCCAAAAAGACCAAATCCCAGTAGATTATTATAATAAAATCCCAGATGTTGATGCTGCTATGAAATAAGTCCTAACCGTGCTGTAATGCTTCGTGGAAAACTGATGGCTTGGATGATGGCGCCTAAAGCATTGCAAACACCAGTAGACTACGACATGAACTCGCATGTCTATTAACCAGAGATGGGAAGTAACGAAGTACAAATTCTTCGTTACTGTACTCAAGTAGATTTTTCTGATATTTTTACTTTACTTTACTACTTATTTTTATGCCGACTTTTTACTTCTACTCCTTACATTTTTACACAAATATCTGTACTTTCTACTCCTTACATTTTAAAAAATTGGCTCGTTACTTTAGTTTTGAATCATTTCAATGGAGTTACCGTTATTATTTTTCACGTCATCAATACCAAATTCAATCTAATTGGATGGGAATCTACGTTGCATTTGACGCACCACTGCAAGATGAATCGACAGATTCGGCGGTATTCATTGGCGGCAAATCATTGCAGCTTGGTGGCGGTGGCGTTAGCATAGTAGCATGGACGACGAGATGATTGAAAATGAACACAACGGAGATCTAGTCCTATTGGCAGACATCCATTTAAAATGTAGGCAACGGCATGAAAAAAGTGGTTTCTACTTTTACTTTTATACTTTAAGTAAATTTACAAGCCTGTACTTTGTTACTTTTACTTGAGTAAAGAAGTTTAATCAGTACTTCCACTTTTACCAGAGTATTTTTTAACACAAGTATCTGTACTTTTACTCAAGTACGGAAAGTGAGTACTTTTGCCATCGCTGCTATAAACTTCACAGCAACGTCAGTCAGATAGATTCAAAGTTTTCTATCTAAGGAAAACCAGCTGATTGCATTGACTCTTCAGCAATCCCTCACACTAAGCATGCTTGTAGCGACAGTGGAGAGGAAAAACTCCCTTTTAACAGGAAGAAATCTCCAGCAGAACCAGGCTCAGTGTGAGCGGCCCTTTCCTGTTAGTGAGATATAATCAGCATAAAGACAGAAATTTATGCTGAATAATTATAAAGAATCATATAGAAATTCAAATATACTTATTTTATATTTCCAGAACCAATACTTATTTTTTTTTTACATTTTAAAGTGAGCCAGGTGTCTAAGGGTCTTCTTGGGGTAAAAAATATCAATTTCTGGGATGCTATTGGGAGGGGTGGGTCCTCAAAGTTTTGATACCAGGAATTTTCATCTAAACAAATAATTTTTAAATCTTTTTCATTGTTTTATTATGATGCAACAGTAAAGCTGGATCTATTTTAAAGCTGCCGCCAGCGATGCTAACACATGGAACCACTGTAAGCTATTTATAATCAGAAGGTCTGCTTGTTTACAGAGTGTCTGCGTCCTTTTGTCATCACCGTCTTTGAAAGTCGTCAGGTACGTATGAGGAGCTTAGAAAGATTTGCATCGTTTCTTTATTCCATGAATCAATTAAAGTCAGAGTGAGCTGAAGAGGTTACTATAGAAACCAGCTTTTGCTAATGTTGGACATGAAGGTTTGTTTCCTACATATACTGTAAAACGGTTAAAGCAATCTCCTATCCTGTTGGGAGAAAGGACAGAAAAAAAAAGGTATTTTGTTGAAGTATTTTCCTTTTTTAAAAGCGGACCTTTAATGGGCCCATTATTAATGACTTCGGCCACTTTCCTGCTGTCCAAGCCTTATCATTTAAAATCAAATCTGGCAAACTGGCCAAACAAGAGTGATTGAAGCAATCTAAAACCCGAGCGGTGAGAAATTGTCAGAGCTAGATGCTGCATATTAATGTTGTTACAGCCACAGCTGTCAGTTTCATCTTCACTTTGCTGCATTTACTGCACCGTACATGTCTGAATACTATTTGCACGGAGAAAATGGCAGCAAAACAAAAGAGGGAGCTGATAGATAAAGCCGGGCCGCCTGACCCTTTTCTGTCAAGCTATGTCTGCACAGATTCCTCCCTCCCGCCGTCACAGATCACCCTGTGCTTTAGTCTACTGCGGCGGTTTTCTGCTGCTGTGTCAGAGAAAGGATGGCTGAAGTGGAAAATGGAATGAGAAGATGTAAAAGCAGATAGTTCCACCCTAATTTATCCTGTGTGCACGAGTCTATTAAAGTGGCGATAAAGCGTCGAGAGTCAGGAAGACTTTAAAAAGCTCGATTTATGGGCAATCCAGATTCAATAGAAGTATGAAGTATGTGGAAAAAGTGTGTGGGATTCTTTTGAGATAAAGGAGCTGCTCTGTCACGGCAATTTCTTACCAGGTTGGCGAGGATGTAGTGATAGCTCTTTGCGTTCTTTCCTTGTTCGACAATCTGCAAGACAGAGAGTGAGAAAAATCAAATGCCGGTTGTAAAAAATGGGAGGTTTGAGCTTTAAAAAAGAGGCTATCAGTCAGAGGAACAAGGAGACCAGAGAGAAGAAACGACATTATTTAGAACTCAAGTATTTGAAAACAGGATGCAAATTATTTGTATTCTTAAAAGGGGGCAGGGCTAAATATCGTTAACCATTTTACTTCTTTAAATATTATATGTTTCTACAGTGAGGAACATCGAATATTCCATAATATCTTTTCCTCATTATTATTTACCTCAATGTTGTTTATATTGGAAGTGCCAAATAATGTCATTAATGCAGAGTTTTTTTTTTTTTATTACAACTTGTGTATTAATTCTCATAACATAATTTATGCGAGTTAAAGGACAAAATTTGAAGCATAGATCTATATATAGATAAAGAAACATAACCAATAACATATACTACACGTGTCCCGAGCCTGTGACATCATCAATTCAATTCAATCCAATTCAGTTTATTTCTATAGCGCCAAATTCACAACACATTTCATCTGTCAAGTCAAGTCAGCTTTTATTGTCACTTTCTTCATATGTACAAGACATACAAGGGAAATGAAATTACATTTACTCTCTACAATATACAAATATACAAGAAATATACAAGACTGACATTTAAAAAAAAAACCTGACATAAAGTGCGGGACATGACAGGTACATGAAGGCACTTTCCAGTTCAACCAGATCATCCAGTCAAATTGATTCAAAGTTTCTATTCAAGGAAAACCAGTTGATTGCATCGACTCATTGACTCAAATACAATCCCTCATTCAGTGACCCCTCACCCCCCCACCATGGACCGTTCTCCATGCTGCCCTCTGGGAAGAGACTTCACAGCATCCGATGCAGGACCAGCAGGTTCCAGAACAGTTTCTTCCCCGCTGCCATTAGACTGCTTATGTTAAATAAAATGGGTTATAAAAAAACAAAACAAAGCTGCTGCAAAAAAATGAAAGTCTAGAGAGCCGTACTTAACTAAATTCTTTTTGTTTACACTTGTGTGTACAAAATGAAGGAAAATAAAGGCTTCACTGCACATCCAGTATACCCAGTGTTGTGCCTGAACGCGTTCATTAAACGAAAGTTCATGAACTCGTTCATATTTTGGGCGAACGTGAACTGAACGTACTGCATTACTGCCTGATGAACGTTATTGTGAACTCGTTCATTCTGGTGTCTGTGAACGGCACGCTTTCTCAGTTCAACTCCGTTCAATAGGTTGCCAG